TGTTATAACTTTGTTTCCGAGAGAGAGAGAGAGAGAGAGAGAGAGAGAGAGAGAGAGAGAGAGAGAGAGAGAGAGAGAGAGACTTTGATACTCAAATCTCCTGCTATACAACTTTGTTTCCGAGAGCGGTCATCTGCCTGTTTTTATTGGTCTCCTCCTGATGGTTCTCAGTTCGATTCCTGTTCTTCTTCTTACTCCTTTCTTTTTCTTCTTACTTTTCTTCTTCCTCCTCCTCCTCCTCCTCCTGCTCCTCCTCCTTTATTGTCACTTTTCTTCTTTTTCAACTTCTTCTTCTTCTTCTGCTGCTGCTGCTGCTGTTGCTGATGCAGATGTGAAACATCCACAACACACCCATTTACCCCCCCTGTCAACCCCCTCCAGAACACCAACCCCCCAAAACCCCCAACCCCTCCCCCCTCCCCTACCACCCACCCCCCCAATCCCCCCCGAATACCTTTGACCAGTTTCTCAGCGGTTTTTGGGCTGCTCTAGGCAAGTGCAGCAAAACCCCATTCTCAGAAAAAAAGAAAAATAAATTCCGGGACACTTTTCAGGCCACCTGGTTTTGCCGGGCAGACCCCCCCCCCCCCGGTCCGTCTGGCCCGGGCCTGCCCAGCCCAGCTTAGAAGTAATTTGTTAACACCACCCATTCGTCATGGGCACAACCCTAACAATGAAAGAAATAGAGCACACACAATTTCAGAAATAGCCAGGACGGAACCCACCCCTTGTGCCCTTGTGTGGCTGAATTGTAAACAAACAGGTCATGAGTGCGATGGGTACAATAAGGTTTTGGGCTACCGCTTATTAGAAAAAGGGAAGACATAACCAGAGAGATACACAGCCCTGTTCAACAATGGGCGCTTTACCTGTCCCTCTGATCCATGTTAAACCTGGTACGCATCCCAGCTTTCGTGCGCACACACGGGCCGTGTAAAGGCTCAACCTACTGGATGAAAATGGCTGGTGGTGCCCGGTAGGCATTGCCGCAAAACTGTTCGGACTGCGAGGAGAAGGCAACCATGCGCATCGAAAAAAACATGATGGATGTGGTCTAGAACACCCTGCTTTGAAAACTCCCAACAACACCCTATGTGTGCTCTGACACATCGTCCAGCCTGAGGGGATCAAACCCACAGCACAGCCTCTAAACCTTCGCACAACAGGGGGAGCATTTTTTTTTTTTTTTCTAATGAAGGGCCACGGCCTCGAGATGTCATCATCGAACTGACCGGGCCTAGGTAATTCAGATATGTAGTACTTTTTCACTCACATGCTTTCAGTGCAGTTCAAACTCAGGTCTGTATATCAACAGTTCAAGGGTGTACCAGCTGTGCCAGGTCAGTTGATACGTGGGGAGCATTTTGCCTAATGCACCCTGGCCCAACACGAACATGCGCTCTCAAAACACAACCTGCAGTAACCACACCCGCAAATGCAGGCCTTCCAAGGCTGTCCACAAATCTCGCAGGCCATAGCAACACACCCCCAGAAGACATAATGCCTGTGCGAGAGCAGCACTCTCGCCTTCCCTTTTCCATGTGCAAATCAGGTACAACCCATGAGCCTTATCCTTTTTCATCTACTCTGAATCCAGCTAAAACAGGTACAACCATACTTGCGGCGCATCCCGTGCACGCCACCCGCGCACATGTGGCGCACTGCGCATTGCGCACGTGGCGCACGCACCCGGCGCGCCGCATGGGCAAAATTCGGGTTCAACCAAAAAAAAAAAAAAGTTGGGAAGAGGGTGAATCGAAGTTCCCACGCCCAGCCAAAATTTGGACATCGCCCGCGCAATTGTTTTTCAGGGCCGCGCTGCCCCAAAAACTCAGTGTGCTGTCATGTTTGCTGTACACAACTCCATGCTATCTTCAGTGTATCCGAGTCCTTTCAGAGGTCCAATACAGTCATGATGAGGACACGTCTGCGGAACCGTTGCTTTCCTCTCATTACTTCCAGATATAGAAAACAACAGAACTGACAGTTGTGTTTCCTTGGTGCTTTTGCTAAAAAAAAAGAAAAAAGAGTGAACGTCCGTGAGATCCTCATGGGGCGTGGCTCCGTTTTTGGGCAACGGATACTCCTGACAATGGGCCTCTCGCCACTCTCGAAATGTGCAAAACGAGAGTGAATATTCCCCTAGAACAAGTAAAGATAAATCGCCATTATTTTTGTCTTTTGTGCATTTCTGGAGTAGTGCAGTGACGCCCTCAGACCCTTCTAGACTCAGCTACGGGCGTGATTCCAGGCATCATTGCCGTTAGATACATCCAGAAAAGTCCTACGTTCTTCCCTCGAATACAACGTATGGTCATTATAGCTGTATCTAGATGGAAAGATACCTCAAATACAGCTATAACGACCGAACGTTGTATTCGGGGGAAGAAGGTAGTGTGAGTAGGAGATACGAGATACGCCCCGGTCTGTTTTTTGTTTTTTTTTGCTTTTGTTTTCCCAGACATACACACTGCCAATAATGACTGTATGCGACCTGATAGTAAAGTAGGATACATTTGGGGCAACACTGCCCTCCATACAGGGCGGAAACTTGGTTGGAGGGCGGGAATGCGGATCCAGGCCGTGTTGTCTCCCCGAAATTGCTGCTGCTCATGAATGTATCTGACCTGGCAGTTAGAAGGATACATTCGAGGGCAACGCTGCCCTCGATCAAAGTTTACGGACGCAGCGAAGTAGTTCCCTGCACTACACACACACACACACACACACACACACACACACACACACAAAATAAAAAAAAGAAGGCCCGCGCAACAGCGGCGCACCAGCAAAGTTGCGCCCTGCACGGTGTGCTGCACCTGTACGCGTTTTGTGCGCGGTGTGCGCACGTGCGCTCGCATCTTAGATCCGCGCACGGCGGCACCGCATGGCACACCACACTGGTGCGCCGCAAGTATGGTAGATCCTAATCTCCGCTCTGTCGAATCAAATAGATCTCCAGCTGTCGATCTGTCTCTTGTCTGCATTAAACATGCTGATTATAGTGATTACAGACGACGAGGCCGGTTGGATGAGGAAAAACTCATGTGCCCNCACACACACACACACACACACACAAACTCACACAAACTAAAAAAAAGAAGGCCCGCGCACCAGCGGCGCACCAGCAAAGTTGCGCCCTGCACGGTGTGCTGCACCTGTACGCGTTTTGTGTGCGGTGTGTGCACGTGCGCTCGCATCTTAGATCCGCGCACAGCGCAAGGCGCACCGCACCGCATGGCACACCACACTGGTGCGCCGCAAGTATGGGTACAACCCATGAGCTGGATTCATTTTCCATTCAGTTATACAGAATGAGTGGGCTTTGTGAATCCAGCTGAGGGTTGGGGAAAACTGTGCCTCCTCTTTCATACATAATCAGGCCCTCTTGCGCATCCTCTTTGATACGTAATCAGGCCTTCTGTTCAGTCTGCAAAGCCCACAGCTTTTGGCATCAACTGCACATGCACCTAATCGACGTCTCTTCCTACTTTCCCGCAATGCGAGTGTTCCAACCTGAATACCAAGTTACAAGGTTTTCCCCGGAATGAACATGGAGCCAGGACCATAAGGACCTGCTTTTCGAAGACGAAGAAAGAAAATGCAGGTGACAAGGCCTTGGGCAGATCATAAACCTGTTCCAAAGCTGTGTGTTCATGCTGAAGCACATTCTCGAACTCCATATCGCTAACTCCCTCCCTGTTATATGGAGCATAAGGAAACAAAATACGCACAAATAGCACACAAATAGCACACAAATTCTCACAAAAACAAAATCGAGGTAGTCCAATCCCCAGTCTCAAGGGAAAACGAAAGTCGTTACAGTATGTTTTTTTTTTTTAAGCCACAGGAGCACAGGATGAAATAATCATGCCTCGAGTTGAAACTTGAAAGCTTCCATGACCGAGCTTCATCCCTCTTCGCCACCATGGCCAGCATCCGTGTCCTCCTGCCACAACTCAACTCTTATGATATACTCTTCTTGCTGCTCCTTGACCCTGCCTCTAAATGACCTCTACTGATCTCGAACCGGAATGGATGGGAGAACGAATGAATGACTAGATCTATCAGCTCCGATCCCTTCCTGCTTATTGTCCTCCTCCTCTCCCTTGTTGCCTTCGTCTTCTTCCTCCTCCCCCCTTCTTTTCGCATATCTTCTTCCCGTGTGTGATCTTTGGATTAAAATTCTGATATTTCGCTCATCTCTGGACTCTGATTTCGTTCTGCTTATGCTTAGAATTTGAACCAGCAATCTTGTGTGTATGCACGTGTTATGATTCTGGTTGTTCGTTGCCTGATGGCCAACACTCACTCACATAAACTTCTGCACATGCCCATACACACACAGAAGGAAGGGGAGAGGATAGGAGTATCACACCGCACAGGGAGAGATAAACACAGCGGAAGACTTGACCATGCGATATGACAGGGTACACTGAAAGTGCAATACACTCCACTCAATCCTCACAACCAGTCATAGAGACAAGCCGAGCAGATCACATCCAGGAAACAATGAAACAATGATAGCCCAAACACAGTTCCACACTGTTTATTAAACTCAGAGTCTCAAAATGTCAGGATCACTCCAGAACTACAGTGCGCTGCTCAGAGTTGAGCAGCGCTTCACTCTTCAACCCTGATTAACACCCGTAACACCCCCTGAGCCCTGAAACATCAAGCGCCGCCCAAATACAACCTCCTGGGGGCAGCGCCACCCTGAAACAGGCCTCTGAGGCCAAGCGCCACTCAGAGGATGAAGAAGAAGACCAGCACCACAGTATCTGATGATGACGAAGTGTCGGGAGGCTTCCCGGGTGGAAGCCTGCAGCAGCGCCACCAAACCCTGATCAGATGACCTCTGAGATGAAGAAGCTGCAGCTATGGCTGCAGCGCAAACCCTCTGGGACCCCACTCCGGAGGAGGGTCCAGCAGGGCACCAATCTCTCTCGCCTCCAGCAGACCTCGATAACCCAGACCTCTGTCAGCCCCTACGTGCTGGCAGAGTACAGCGCAGGTCCCAGCTATGGCCTGCGCTCTGAAGGACTGGCTATGCCCGTCTTCCTCCACGCTGAGCCGTTACCACCTCCGGTTCACGCGTAGCGCAGCAGCGATGTACATGGTACCAACTGCCAAAAGCCCTGAACCGATGTCCCCATCCTACTTCTAGCCTACACCGACCTAGACCGGACTGACTGACCGACCGGTACCGTATCTGTTTCGGCCTCTCGGCCTCTACCGGACCCRGCTATAGGCTATAGGACCGTCTATTCAGAATAGGCCCATAGGGCCTGTCTGTCTAGGGGTAGCCCGGGCCTGCTATCCGCAGTTAGGGTAGCTGTAGGGAATCGAGTTAGTACCGGGCCTGTATTTTCCCGGATTTGCAGATATGTCCATCACGAATTTTCCTTACAGATAGGCCTCTCGGTTAGCCCTCAGCCAAACAAAATTACGAATCTAACCTACAAGGCGACCCGACCGAGGCAAGCCCCGAGCTTCGCCCTCGGCCCAATGTACAGTCCACTGAGAATCTGCAGGCTTCATTACACACGCATCTGCGTAATCTATCATCACGTTGTAACTATGCTGTAGATTAGTCTTTTGTCCTCTCTTGCATCGGACAGCAACAGCCTGTAAGTTGACCTGTAGATTAAT